TGAGGAATTTGGAAACCAAGGCAACATTCATGAACAATTGTTGCAGTGTGGCAGGGTGTATTATCCTGCTGAAAAAGGAAACTGCCATCAGGGAATACCATTGGCCTGAAGGGGTATACGTGGTCTGCAACAATCTCTAGGTAAGTGTTACATGCCAAGGTCACATACACAGTATCAAGGTTGCCCAGAGCATAAAACTGCCTTTGCCTTTCTTCTTCCCATAGTGCATCTTGCTGCCATCTCTTCCCTTGGTAAACAACGCGCATGCACCTGGCTATACCCTGATCTATAAGAAAACATGATTCATCAGATCAGACAACCTTTTCCCATTGCTCCATGGTCTAATTTTGATGCTCATGTCTCCATTGAAGGCACTTACGGTGGTGGACATAGTTCATCATAGGCACTCTGACTGGTCTGCAGCTACACAGCAAATTGCGATGAACTTTGTGTTCTGACTCATTTCTATTATATCCAGCAGGCCAGCACTGACCATTGGGCAAAACAGGCAAATTCCCGGCGGGCCATGATGGCAAGGCCGAGACCGAACCTGCCAGATCAAAGAATCTTCCTGACAGGCCCGTGCAGTGCGGGGCTCAGTGAGCGTGGCCCAAACAAGTAACTAAGAACCTTAATGGGCCAGTGTGGAGATCACAGATCATTACACAAACGTGCAGAACGAATAAATGGGCCAAGTGGTATATTCTCACGAGCTGCGGTCACTACGAGCATTGCCGAAGGACCCCGAATGTTCTCACTAAAGCCAGAGTTCATCTGAAGCAAGAGTGCCACCAGCTGCAGAGTGCTTCCAACCCACTGGGCCACCTCTCCCTTGGCCAAAGGTAACAGAAGTAACAAAAGGGAAAGTGCAATAAATATGTCTTCCTTTTTTTTTTTTTAAACGATTTGATTTAAAAAAAATTTAATTAACATTAATATTTTCTTCACCTCTGCACCCTGAACCCCTGTGTCTACACACACACAACAGCCCCTGTACAATAACACTAAAACCCGCTATACACACACACACACATACACAAAATAGACCTTATTAAAACAGACTCTAGCCCCATACACACACATTACAGCCATTATTAATATACTTATACACCCATACTGATACAGAGAAACACTGACAGATACATACACTTGGTGAACCATACACACACAAACACAGTTACTCATATACACACATAGTGACCCATACACACAAATACAAACAGTGGCTCCCACACACTCAATGCCCCTTCACACACAGTGACCCACACACACTGTGGCCCCCGACCCACACAGTGACCCCCCCCACACACACAGGGATCTACACACAGTGGCCCACACACACAGTGATCCCACACACACACAGTGACCTCCATGCACACACAGTGACCCACACACACATTGGCCCACCCACACACATTAACCTCACTACAAACACAGTGATAGACATACACACAGTGGCGCCTAAACACATACAATGACTCACACACACACTCACACACAGTAATCGCCACCCCCCCTCACACACACAGTGGCACCCAAACACACACAGTAACCCAAACACACAGTGGCCCTCACACATATTGACCCTCACACAGACACAGTAACCCATATATACACACAGTGGCACCTACACACACACAGTGACCCCCACACGTGCACACATTGGCCCACACACACAGTGAACCGCCCACACACACTGACAAATGCAGTCCCACCTGAATTGCAGTTTCTGGAATGCAGATCTGACCAGCTTCTCTTTCATTAGCAGGAATTAGAAAACTTGTAAATATGGATATATTTGGTGCAAAATACTGGGCATTTCTAGAGGAAATACTGTTTCAGTCTACAAGAGACCTGAGAGGGGCATAGGTTCATCTAAACCAGGTGTCTCAAACTCTGGCCTCGATATGTTGCTGAACTACAATTCCTATGATTCTATAGCCATCTATTGCATTTAAATGATTCTGAGAGTTACAGATCATTAACATATAGGGGAGGCAGAGGTTTATATACCTGCTCTAAACACATAATTAACTCCAGAGGTGTTGTAAGGGGGAGGGGTGACATTTGCTTTCCTTGGTCAGGTCTCTGGTCATGGCGAAATAAACAGTGCTGCATCTGCTACTCTACTCCAGGCTGACACAATGCCACCATCTTGCTCCTTACTACCAGCCAGCTGTTACAGGTAGGAAATGCAGAAGCCTAGCAGAGCAGCTATCAGTGCCTAGACAAACTGACTTCACCTGATAGTTGCTTCCCAACCTCTACCTCTCACTAATTGGTAACTTCTGAGGGCCTGGCAATGGAAGCAGCAAGATGATATCAGGAGGGAAACTGTTAGTTTTGTTGTGAAAAACTGTTAGAGATGTTGTGTAACACAAGCTTTAAAACTCCCAGTTGAGTTCATTTTAATTCTAGGTTGTAATACTACAAAATGTGTAACCAGATCATTTTATGACATGTTGTAGACAACCTGCAAATGTCTGTTGGGCAAATAAATAGTGAGTAGATGGTGCCTATTTATCAATGGCTACATCTCAATGTAAGATATACAGTATGTACTCACACTGGGGGAGGCACTACTTACTTGACAGTAACTGATGCTGAACATCTATTGAAAATATCTGTAAATGTATCAATTGATTTTTAATCAGCAATGCTATACTTGTTATTCAGTAAATTGCTCTGTATGGTATTCTAAGCAATTGTTGTATTTTGTGGTAACATTATGGGGAACTCCCTTCTCTTCCATCATGTAAATGGCCCACTAGTAGTCTGTGCAGAAATGTTTAATCGAGAACTGTGGAAGAATTTGACTGACCTGTCTAGAGCCCTTACAGGAACACGTTTGAGAGAAGAGGTAGTAGGAGGACAGAGGAAGAGGTGTATGTGAGAATGCAGTGTGTGTTTCTGAAAAAAAAAACAAAGTCTTCTACTATGATCAGCCTGGCACAAAACCTAATCATGGCGCTGTCTATCATTGTAAAGATGAAGAATATCTGAATTCTGGAATATAGAATATTAATGCAGGATACTGTAGTTATAACCAAATAAATCTGATGGGAAAAAAACAGCTGAGGCAAATACCATTGGCTCCTACAACAGCCCATCACTACATTACTGAAATCTGCAGTTCTGCATTTAGAGGCATTTGTCTCAAGATGTCATTTAAGTTAAACTATCACTGTTCTTCCTCATTTTATGTCTCTAATAAGAGCTATTGAAGTGCTTGCTGATGTAAACAATGCGGTGGAGGAGAATAAAAACATATTCCACAGTACTTCCCATTCTAGGATGACCTAATTGCTCCATTATACTCCAGGTGTGTTTTGTTAGCTATCGGTTTGTATAGAAATCTCAGTTGTAACAGTTCCACTTTAAGTAAATATTGCTTGGGAAGTGAAACAAATCAAGATTCCAAATCAATAGGCATTACTGTCTATCTAAAAAGGCTATGCAAATTCAATGCATTTTTTTAATACTTTTAATATTGTCAAAGTTGCTTTAATTGTGCATGTACGTAAGGAGAGCACCGAAGTTGGTTCCTGCAAGATGAAGCACCATTAACTAAAGAGGACCCATCATATGCTGATGCACTCCGTGGCCATAAGGGACCAAGTGGTGAAGCTACTGTAATGGGTTACTTCAACCACCATGACTAGCAGTGGAACTGGGTTTTGCATGCTGAGGGGGCCCGTTGGCTGGCCCATTCATTTAGGAACACCTGATGGGCAGGTATCTTAAAGGGCTTGGTCATACCCTGCAGCAATTTAGCAGCGCAGTCAGGCTGTATGTATGTCAGTGTGTGTAACTGTAAGTGTATCTGCGTATCTACATGTGTGTCAGTGAGTATCTGTATGCCTGTATGTGTATCAGTGTGTATCTGTGTTTCTATATGTGTGTCAGTGTGTGCATTTGTGTGTCTGTTTATCTGTATGCATGCCAGTGTGTGTTTTTTGTGTGTCTGTCTGACTGTATGTGTGTCGATGTGTTTGTATCTGTTTGTGTTGGTAACTGAATGTGTGTCAGTGTGTGTTTCTGTATGTTTGTGTATCTGCATATGTGTCATTGTGGGTGTCTATTTATCAGAGTGTTTATATGTGTGTACATGTGTATCAGTGTGTTGTCAGTGTATGTGTATATGAGAATACATCTCAGCATTCAAACACCAACACTACATACAGATACACCCTTGCTTTTAAATGCTACATACATTACATACAAACACACCCTTGCATTCAACACTACATACAGACACTTTTGTGTTAAAACTCCAACATTATATATAAACACATACCTGCATTCAAAAACCATAATTACACACAAATACACACTTCTATTCAAATGCCCACACAACACACAAATGTAACACTACATTCATATTCCATACAAAAACATTCTAACTTTCAAACACACAAACACTGCTCACTGCTGAATACAACCCTGTAAGGATAGGCAAATGGTAGATCCCCAGCTGGCAAACTATTGTGGGATTTGTACAACAGATGGGGATCTACTTTTTGGCCACTCTTGCGACAGGGAAGCCCAAAGAAATTCTTGCACCAGGGCCCTCTCTACATTAGTTTCTCCACTGACCATGACCACATCTGCTTTTGCGAACATGGTTGTAGGAAATGCAGCACATTCAGAGATATTTGCACTTTTGTACTGGGAGCTAGTTGCACTCCCGGCACATGTGATTTAGTCAGGTTGGAACAAAGTTCCAGGCTTCCTAATATCAATTCTGTGCAAAAAATACATCTGTCGTTAGCACACACTGCACACTGATTACAAACATTATAAGCTTCTACCCTTACAGGCAGTGCATTCAAGGGGAAGCTTGAATGTGCCCTCCCTTCATTATTTCATCACTCCAAAGCCTTCCCTGCCATCCCCACCTCCCTGCACTACTTAAAAAATATATATATTATATCCCCTTGTCCAACTCCCCTACTCACCACTACTCCCCTTCCTGTATGCACTCAGATCTAGGTAGAAAGGTCAAATTAAATGCTTCAATCATGCATTTGACTGGACCACACAAGGAAAGCGGTGATGTGACAGGAGCATTGAAGCCTCTCAATTCCAGGTAAGTTAATGCTCATTTTATTTTAATTGAAATAACAGAGGGAGACCAGGTCAGTAATGCCAACAGGATATTTAGAATAAGAAGATTGTTTTAATGAAAAGAGGTTGGTGTAACACTTTAAAATATGAACTCCAACCTGATACAATCAGCATTCACAGAGAATAATTGTAACAAAAGCAGATATAAATGCTACCACAATGAAATGTTTGTGTGTGCTCCGACAGTTTGTAACATTTCGTACACCCTAACTTCCTTAGATTGAAACCACAAGATAGCTAATTTTCAGTAACATATTTTACTAGCTCATCAAGAGCAAAATTATTTTCATTTTGCAGCTTTCACAGAGTATGTAAAACACATTTTATCTTTGCTAATTTGTGCTGTCTAGTTCCATTGTTAAAACAATCTCAGTTGGGCTGCCAGGTACAGTATAAAGAAAGCATAATAAAAAACGAAATCCAGTAATGTGCTAAGTACTGAACAGGTCCAGAGGGGTGCGCATTACAACATAAATGACCCTATATGTAGACACACTCATACAAATGATAACTATACTGCAAGTGACAAGAGCTCCTTAGAACAGAGAACAGAGATGTTATGATATCTGGCAGTGAGGTATACAATAAAAGTGCAAAATTATCGAGAATGCCAATCCCAAGCACCAGTGGATATACCCAACGTAAATATGCATGCATTTAATTATGCATTTTTTTTCTAAAAACAGCTTTCAAAATCTGCAGATCTTTTGTCTGAAACTTTTCAAGCCCTCCTTTTCTAACCCCGCCGAGACTAACTGTAGCTGTCCAATCACAGACTTCCTATTGCAGCTTAATAAGAAGTCTCTGCAAAGCATGTCCTCTAAGTAATTGCCTGACTGCTGAGTTTAGCTCCACTGAGTTAAACAACCAAACAGTGACAGGTCTGGTTGTCTGATTGACATCCAGGGGCTTGTAGCTAGGATAATTTATGAAAGTGCCAAATAACATTGAAATCTGCAGTTATTGTAAAGTGGAAAAGGTCACATTCTTCACACATAAAGTCATGCCAAACTTACCTTTTCCCAATCACTTCCTCTTCTTTTCCTCCCAGGCTCTGTTCTTCTTTTCTTCATATCTGATCTAGTTTTCTTTAAAACATAAGACAAGGTAGGGACTACTTTGTCTTATGTATTTGTCCTATGCTTGACCCGCTTTGACGCAAGAAGGAGTTTAAACTCGCTCCATTTCCTGTGGTCAAAGAAAGTTTCCCACAATAATCACCTCTCCTCCGAACATCCTGTCATGTAGACAGGGCACTGGCAAAACTACCTAATTTCGTCCTAACAGAATGAGTATATGCCAACTATGCTGCGAGTAGGGGCATGTCTACTAAACAGTGAGAAGCCTGTGGCACTTAGGGCCTCCTCCTATTGTTACCTAGGGCGACCTAAGGGAGACAATTGGTCCTCCCCCCTAATGTCACTTAGGGCCCCCACCCACCACTTATGGGTGGCTGTAACTGTGAATGTCATAATACTGTTTGCTTTTACTGCAATAAAATGCACATATTTGTATTCAGCGATGTCTCACATGGAAAACAGTACCCCATATGTACAGGTTTTATGGTGTTTTGGGAAGTTACATGGTCAAGTATAGCATGTTACATTTTCCAGTTTTTTCACATTGAAATTTGCCAGATTGGTTACGTTGCCTTTGAGACCGTATGGTAGCCCAGGTATGATGGCATACCATTTGCAAAAGTAGACAACCCAAGGTATTGCAAATGGGGTATGTCCAGTCTTTTTTAGTAGCTACTTGGTCACAAACACTGTAATTCTCATTCCTGGGCTACCATACGATCTCAAAGGCAACGTAACAAATCTGGCGAATTTCAATGTGAAAAAACTGAAACGCAAACCTTATATTTTACTCTGTAACTTTTGAAAACAACATAAAACCTGTAGATGAGGGGTTCTGTTATACTCAGGAGTCTTTTTTAGTAGCCACTTGGTCACAAACACTGGCCAAAGTTGATGTTAATATTTGTTTGTGTGAAAAATGCAAAAAACTAATTTCAATGCCAATTTTGACCAGTGTTTGTGACTAAATGGCTACTAAAAAAGACTGGACATACCCCATCTGCAAAACCTTGGGTTGTATACTTTTGCAAATGGTATGCCATCATGGGGGTAATTCTCATTCCTGGGCTACAATACGGTCTCAAAGGCAACGTAACCAATCTGGCGAATTTCAATGTGAAAAAACTGAAACGTAAACCTTATAGTTGATTCTGTAACTTTTGAAAACAACATAAAACCTGTAGATGAGGGGTACTGTTATACTCAGGAGACCTCGCTGAACACATATATTAGTATTTCAAAACAGTAAAATGTCTGTGTAAGTGCCATTTGTGTGTGAAAAATGCAAAAAAAATTCACTTTCACTGACGATATCATCGTTGTAATATATTTTACTGTTTTGAAACACAAATATTTGTGTTCAGCGAAGTCTTCCAAGTAAATCAGTACCCCCCATGTACAGGTTTTATGGTGTCTTGGAAAGTTACAGGGTTAAATATAGTGCTAGCAAATTAAATTCCCTGGACTTTCGGCCTGGGTTGTCAGGCAGGTCCCGCAAATTGTAATTAATAAAATTACCTAATTATGTAAATTTATTACATAAATATATACGTAGAATTATTATATATATACACATGTGTATATATATATATACATATATATATATTATGTATAAAAAAAATTTAATTATTTTTATTTATATATAGGTATATATAGTGATATATATATATATACATATATACTTATATATAGATATATATTATTTCGTTCTACGTATATTTTGATATATATATATATATATATATATATATATATATATATATATATATAAAATACTGTGTAGGAAAGCACTCACAGGACTTGGTATGGTTCGAAAATAGTGCTTCTTTAGTGCAGCAAAAATTTCAAGTAAAAGTTTTAACGTTTCAGTCCCATCTGGACTTTTATCAAGTCCAGATGGGACTGAAACGTTGACACTTTTACTTGAAATTTTTGCTGCAATAAAGAAGCACTATTTTTGAACCATACCACGTCCTGTGAGTGCTTTCCTACACTGTATTTTATATTATGGCCAGGATTAGCACCAAGGCATTACAAGACCGGGAGCAGTGAGTGCGGGACACAAGGAGTTTATATATATATTAATTCTAAAATACAGTTAGAATGAAATTACACATATATATAAAAATTTATATTTTTTGTAAAAACGTATTTACATATTTATTTATTTTATATTATATATAAATATATATATTTAATCAATATCATTCTATGTGTATTATGATATTATATATATATATATATATATTAATATTAAAATACACTTAGTGTATGTGTATTTATGTGTATGTACGTATATGTGTGTGTGTGTATATATATATATATATATATATATATATATATATATATATATACTTAGATCATATATATAACAAATATATATATGATCTAAGTATATATAATTACATTTTAAACTGTTTTAAACTGTTTTTTTTTTTTACCGGCAGCAGCTGTAATGACAGGTACACCCCCTGCTGGCACTGCCTTGGACGGCTCGCGATCAATTGGTCCAGGGGGGCCGAAGAGGAAGAAGGGGGACTTCCTGGGCTCCCAGGTGAGTCCCCACAATGTGATCGCTGGCGTTTTGAACCAGGTCCCTATGGACGGCATAGCACGCCCGCCATCCTTAAGGGGTTAACTGGGTATACGCGGGAACTTCATAGTGCTATCTAGTGTGGACAGATGACGTGTACCTTCATCTACTTCATAAAGATGGTGACATAGTAGACAGAGATATAGGGTGTGCCAAAGGAAAAATAAAAGCAAGTAAGGGAGAAAGATAAAACAGCTTAGATAAAACTTTTAAAATTATATAAAATACAGATACCTTAATGCAATAGCAGCAAACACAAAATAAAGTTTAACAATGTAAATATGTGAGAGTCTCTAAGTGACCTGAGCATCCATGTGATTATCAAGCTTGAAGAAGGAGAAATATTAATCCAGTCCCTCAGACACTGTTGGGGGCCGGACAATAAACAATATTAATGAATTCCAATGCACACTGCACACACACGCATAAGGACATAAATACACACACACACAAACAAACAGACAGACACGAACATATACATACATATTGAAATACACACAGACAGACATGCATACATACGCATACTGACTTACACACACATACATACATACTGACACATACATACAAACATACATACTGACATACATACATACATACTGACACACACACACATACATATTAACATACATACATACTGACACACATACATACATACTGATAGACACACATACATACATACTGACACACATACATACATACATGCATACTAATAGACACACACACATACATACTGACATACATACATACTGACACACATACATACATACATACATACTGATAGACACACATACATACATACATACATACATAATGATAGACACACACACATACATACATACATACATACTGACACACATACATACATACATACTGACACACATACATATTAACATACATACATACATACTGACGTACATACATACTGACATACATATTAACATATATACATACATACATACATACATACTGACATACATATTAACATACATACATACAGACATTCATACATTCATACATACTGACATACATATTAACATACATACATATTAACATACATACATACATACAGACCTATATACATACATATTAACAGACATACATACATACTGACATACATATTAACATACATACATACATACTGACATACATATTAACATACATACATACTAACATACAGCTAATTTTGCTTACCTTTTTTTCAGGTGGAAGGCTGTGGCTGATGGGAGTCAGCGTGGTTCCCACGGCCTGGCTTTCTTCCATCCCGTGCGGCACGGAGGGGAGGGGAGCGAGCTGGGAGGAAGTGACGGTCACTTCCTCCCAGCAGTACTTTGCGGCTGAGATTTTTTTAAAGGGGCCCGGTCGCGCAATTGCACGGCTGCAGTGCTGACCGGGCCCCTGAAGACACAGGGCCCATCGGGTGGCCCTAAGTGTGTGGGCCACCCGATGGGCCCCAACGACGTGCGGGCCCCGGTGCAACTGCACCGGCGGGAGTTTTGCCGCTACACGTGTCACCCCCTGATGGCGGCCCTGTTTACCCATAGAGATGGTGGCGCCCAGGACCATGGTCCAGGCATGAAATAAAGATTGAAAAAAAGGTTATATGGGGGGGCCTATTGGCATTTGGGGGTCACTGGGAAGACAATTAGATGTAATGGAGTCTGGAGGGGGGTTTAGAAAATAACAGATGCGGCTATGAGTAAAGTAATAGGTTGCCATAAGTCCTGGTTGTTGCAAATGTTACCTGAACTAGGGTTTTTTTCTGAATGAAATTAAATTTAAGTTTGGTCCTGTCTTTGTTGTTAGCTGGCATGGTTACATTCCTTATAAATATACTACTTGAAACGCATCTGATCTTTATCTTCACTGCAAAAATAAAATGGGATGTAATTGCTTCTTTGCTCTTAACAAGAGTACTGGTAAAGTAAAGCACAGAATAATATAGCCAGAGATGCAATAAGCAAGATATCTGTTAATAAAAATAAGAGAATGTAGTATAAATAAAAGATTTGATGGGGAAGGAAAATATTATATTCCATGACTCCATAATTCACAGACCTCAATGACAATTTGATAATTTAATTCTGTAATCTAATAAAATTGTTTTTGATCACCTTTCACAATCAAAACTCTCCATTATTCACCCATCCTTTGCTACTGCATTAAATGATATCCTAATTTCCATCTCATTACAGGCAGTTACTGGTCATCTGTCAAATCCCAAAAATGCTTAGTGGCCTGCGATGGCTGTAGGCTAAGGATGATTGGATAAATTGAAGGATCTATTCGGTTGACTTATGCAGGGCCAAGGCAAAGAAGGTACTCTAACATTCCATGGGCTAATCAAGAGATTGAAGATATCTCTGCTTGGCCCAGCCAACCTTAATGCCAGGAACCCCACGAGCCTGTGGGCTGTACCTCCACCAAGTGCACACTACTTGTTTTGCTACTTGTTAGGGCCTGATCTGTAAATGTAAAACATAATTGGCACAAGTTACTGTAACAACTGGATACTTTCACTACGTCAGGACTGGAAGACGCGGTGTAAGTGCTCTGCACCCACCAGAAGTGCAGACCACGTTTTGCCCACTAGATTACCCAAATACTTTCTCTATTATCTGATCTAATTCTGATTCAAATATCTTCACTTTCATCTGGCAAATAGGGAAGTCATAGTTAGTAGAGAGAAATGTAAGTTTATAACCCATCTCATGGTGTAGGGCAGGGGTAGGCAACCTTCAGCTCTCTAGATGTTTTTGACTATCACCTTTAATGCTCTTACATCCATAAAGCTGGCAAATCATCAGGCCAGATGTATTCCACAACATCTGGAGTTCCAAAAGTTGCCTACCCCTTGTAAAGCAACGTTCTCCATTTTCAGAATGGTTTTCATCCTTTCTATATATTTTTTTTCAGTTTCTGAATTGAGTCTGCAACTGGGTATTTTTAAAATGTGTGATTTTATGTCTGTATATTGAGAGTAGTTGACTTTAAATTCATGACTTTAACAAATGACAGTTCAGGGGTCAGGTAGCTGTCACAGCTTTTTGAACATCGGAGTTGTTGTACTAGTATAGCATGTCTGCTATTTGTTTAACCATACTGGAGTTGAAGTGACCTGGGAACTGTGAATCCAGGGCAATCCAAGAGTTATTCACTAAAGGCGAGTAAAGTGACATTGACTTGCCTTCTGTGAATAGCAGATTGTTAACTTTCCAAGTAAACAATTTGACCAGCATTTAAACAAGCCCATCTAAAGTCACACCTTCGAATACACAAAGATCTTGATGTATATATTATCAATCGTTTCAATCACTGTCGAGAAGTATAACAGCATTTCAAAATATCATCCGTTGACTGGAAAATACCTTGCACCACTAAGCGACACATATATCCATGAAGAGTTGTGATTTAATATTGTGACACTTTATAAATAATAAATAGAACAACAACTGCAAGGCTAAATATTAATAACTTCCTTCCGAAGTCTATTGCATTGGTTTATTAACTGTTATTTGTATCATTTGTACCAATATAACTTACCTTCCTCTGCTCTAACCAAAGGTATGCCTTATCAGTGATGAACATGCTGTCACAAGACCTCAAATTATTTCCATGGTGATGAAACATCAGGAATACATATATTGCTATTACTTCGATCTTGAATACATAGGGTTGAATTCATATTCCTTGGTGAAGAGACAGTGTTTAGGACTGTCCCATTCTGCATAATATGAATGATCACAGTTATCAGTGGTGACTACCTATGAATTTAGGGTTCTTTATAATTGCGCTCTGCAATATATATCTCATAACTTCATCTACATGTATTTCCATTTTTGTTTTGAAGGTTAAAGGGTCTCTCTAAGCACCTCTCTAGACACTATTACATGTTGTGGATCTGGTGTCAGTAGTCCAACAGGGTTTTCCGCTAAAGTGAAAATTCAAGGTGAGCTTAAAATAGATTTTAAATTTAAGGACAAAACAGTTGATCTGGAAAATTCCCTAAGTCAGCTATGCTTTCAATCAGCTACTCTGACCTTACATTTGAAATTCACTTTTAATTCATCTTTAGTTGTCACTTTATATTACAGTAAATAAACCTGTTAGTTGCAATGATTTCTATGATCAAAGGGACACTATAGCCATCAGAACCACTACAGGCTGAGAACTGTTAACAGAAAAAAAAGCAGTGTTTACATTACTGCCTAATAACACCTCTAGTGACAGTAACTCAGAAAGCCACTAGATGTGCTTCCTAGTCCAGTTCTGACATTCAGAGTCTCCTTACTTTCCATGAAGACGCTATTGATTCTCCGTAAGAAGATGCTGAATGGCGCAGCGCTGCATTTTGCCGCACATGCACAAAAGACTCCCAATGCTTTTAAGTTGGAAAGCATTAAATTGGCTGACATGATCAAGATTGATAATCTTAGCCATAGAGACAAGACTGGTGCAGAAGTGGGCCCTAAATAGCCACTCTAGCACTATAGTGTCAGGAATGCCTGTTTCCTGACACTTTAGTGTTCCATTTAGGATTGTTAGGTCTGAATTGTATTAAGTTTGTGATTGGCTCTACCTGTGTTGCGCTGTACCAAACTACAACAAATAAAGTTTTTTTCATTACTCAGAATAATGCTTACCGTATATACTCGTGTATAAGTCGATCTCATGTATAAGTCGAGTGCAGTTTTGTGACCAACAATTGTGAAATATGATATGCCTCATGGATAAGTCGAGGGTAAAACTTGGGGCTATGAAATTCTGTGATTTTTATAATTATATATACACACACACACACACTCATACAAACACACACACTGCATTATATACGCACACACTTATACAAACACACACTCTGCATTATACACACACTCATACACACACTCTGCATTATACACATGCACTCATACACACACACACAATCACTCATACACACACTCTGCATTATACACACACACACTCATACACACACTCTGCATTATATACACACACACACTCATACACACACACACTCATACACACACTCTGCATTACACACACACACTCATACACACTGCATTATACACACACACACACTCATACACACACTCTGCATAATACACACACACACACTCATACAAACAATCTGCATTATACACACACACTCATACAAAAACACACTGCATTATATACACACACACATACAAACAAACACTCTGCATTATACACACACACACTCATACAAACACACACTCTCCATTATATACGGACACACTCATACAAACACACACTCTGCATTATATAATGCAGAGTGTGTGTGTTTGTGTGAATGCAGAGTGTGTGTGTGTGTGTATATAATGCAGAGTGTGTGTTTGTATGAGTGTGTGTATAATGCAGAGTGTGTGTTTGTATGAGTGTGTATATAATGCAGTGTGTGTGTATATAATGCAGTGTGTGTGTGTGTATATACAATACAGAGGGTGTGTTTGTATGAGTGTGTGTTTGTGTGTGAACTGGGTGGGGGAGGGCATTTTTATTTTTAGTTTTTTAATTTTAATATTTTCATTTTTTTATTTTAGTATTATTTTTTTATTTTATTATTTACTTTTTAAATTTTAATATTTACTTTTTTATTGTAATATTATTATTTTTTTTATTATTTAATTTTTATTTTCGTCCCCCCTCCCTGCTTGTTAGCTGGCCAGGGAGTTGGACTCTCATTCCCTGGTGGTCCAGTGGATGGGCTGTGTAGGAGGGGGGCTGGCAGAGAGCTGTTACTTACCTTTCCTGCATCTCCCTTCTCCTCTGGTCTCGCGAGAGCCGCGGGGTCAAAGCGTTGCCACGGGTTACCGTGGCAACGCTCCACGCGGCATTCACACCGCAAGACTTACAGTGGAGGAGAAGGGAGCTGACAGGAGCTGCAGGAAGGTAAGTAACAGCTATCTGCCAGCCCCCAACAGGACCGCCGGGCTTGTAATGAGCCCGGCAGTCCTGGTCTGTATTATGGCAATGTAAGTTGCCATAATACAGACACTGACTCGAGTATAAGTTGAGTGGGGGGTTTTCAGCACAAATAATGTGCTGAAAAACTAGACTTATACTTGAGTATATATGGTACTTTGATATGCTTTTTTCTGGCCATGTTTTTTGTTTGATGCCTACAGTTTTCTGAAGCCACCCCTCTATAAGTAATCAAACTATTATCAATTGATTTTCCCCTTACCTGAGTCCCCTGTGGGCCTCCAGTCTGACTAATCTTCTCTCATATTTCTAAAGAAGGACTTCCACTTCCACAAAAAATATTTTAATTTTGTTTTTGTTTGACCAGAATTCAATGGCTGATAGTGCCAGCTGTCACTTTCAACCAATCATTTCTGCCCAAACACATGGAGACCTGGCATCACTTATTCAGATGTAGAGACATCCACATTCAAAATCTCTGAAAATTTGGACCATACAGGAGGCACCCAGTTAAGTGTCAAATCATTAAAGCAGATTCCTGTCACCATAACTACTAAAGGGTGGTTTAGTGTCTATAATGCTTAGTCTGTTCCTGTAAGGAACACATAGGTACTATTTAAAATACAGCACAGAGATGTAACTTAAAGAACATATAGGTAGAATTTGAACACTCTGGACTACTGGTAAAAACAAATCAGCAAGGAGTCAGAATGTACTCCCCAAAACAAATGGCAAATAAAAAAATTAAATTGATGAATCATTACAATCAGCTGTATACATGCCAATGAATGAGACCTATTTGAGAGAGAGTGAGTTTTCTGAAAGAATGTATTTACAAAGTAGCCTCAGGATGCAAACATTCATTATAACATACCTTATCTGTACCTGAAAATAGCCTTATCATGTTTCATCTTGCAACAGTATAGTCAGAACATTTAACTATGCATCAAGCCCCTATAATATAGCAGCTGAAATTTAAGGCACACTATAGAGTTAGGAATACAAATCTGTATTCCTAACACTTCAGTGTCCCATGCCTCCTCCACCAGTGGCAATTCCAGGGCAGCTGTCACTGTGTGCTGGATCGCTCTATTATTTTGTGATATTTGTTATAAATACTGTTACATCCAGATAGACAAAAAATTGAGCTCTGCTCATCAAGTAGGTAGTGCACACCCAGGTGCTAGTGCAGTTTATTAGAGGACACAATATAAACAAACGTTTCGGGCAACAAGCCCTTCCACAGTGCTAATGTTCAGGACTCCATTTTTTGTCTATCTGCTTGTTACACTGTTGGAACTACAGTAACGAGACCCTGCAGCTCGGATTTAACTGTTCATTACTGTGTACTTTATCTTTGATAATCGGTGGGCGTCACTGATGCCTCTGCCTCATCCTATGCATACTGTTACATCCAGGGGTTATAAAAACTATATATTTTATTTTTTCATGATGTGCTAAAGCATAAACATAAAGTATATAATATATTACTTGAATACCACACAGTAGACATTTCACAGCTTTTAATTTAAAATCCATTAAGTATCAAAATCCATAGAAAATTGGCGCCGACAACAAATAGATGCAAGTTTACAATAAACTGCAATATTTATAAGGTGTGATTATATGCACGTCCTAAATAACCCATATTTGGCCTAAAGATCGGTGTAGCTAGGGAAGTCCTTGTTGCTAAGGAAGTAGTGGGATCTTTTGTGGGATGTTCAGTCACTGCTTAAATTAGACTCTCAAAAACTTATGATGTGGCTCTGAAACTAAGTCATGCTAATACTCCATTATTACATGCATTCACACTAATGTATCTTTTTAATCTTTTAGCTTTTAAGAGATTTGCTAGATGCTGTCAGAATAAATACTATAATGTAGTTTATTGGTATTGAGGTTTTGAACTAATTGTCTAGTTTCAAAGGAAAAACAAAGAACACAATGGGGCCATGACCTTATTATGGCATTTACAAAATTACCTCAGATTCTCCAGGTGTCCCTATATTTTGTAGCAACATGGAATACTTAGCTTGTGTTGATGTAGCAGCATGTTAAACCTCACATTTATTATTTCTAGACAAATACTTCAGTTGTATTCCTACTGACCTACAGCTTTAGCATTAATTACATTCTGATAACTCCTGAGTCTCTGTGTATACCTAATTGCCTATTCACAGATACATAGGAATTGGAGACTTTGCATTGTTCTTCAGCAACATTTTGTAATGCCCTACAATCCACTTTCATTTCAGTAATACGCACGATCATGACTTTTTCTGCCTTCTTGCTTGTCTTATTCACCCCCTTTAACTATAAAAAGGCACCTCAATGCCCCTCAAAGTTCTGATCTTCTAATGTTCCCAGGAGTATAGACAATTCATGACGTCACCTAAAAAATACCTCATTTCACTCCACCTTTTATTCTAACATTGAATGCAAATATCAGGATCAAACATGTGTATTTCTCCTCCTTTACCCACAAATATTTGTTAATAAAAGTATGAGTTTTTTTTTATTTATTTATTTATTATATATTCACATACTGGGTGGGAAGGTTACCTACTATACCTGGCTCTCTACAATCCTAAATTCCATTGCAATGAGTTACATGCTGTCCTTCGGGGAGAAAAGTAAACACAAGCAGAGGAAAGAAATGCCTCAAATCGAAAATCATGCTATAAACACAGACATTCAGGAAAGGAATGTGAGAGCATTGAACTTTGAAGCAAAGAATAATGAAAAACAGGACAAAACATGCGCAACAATCAAAATATCACTTTCCATGCTGCACAATACTACTGGTTAACTATTAATGCATTTCAAAACACCAAAAAACATAAAACAATTATAAATATGCGATTACTACCTCAGTAGAACAGTATGAAGGGATTTTATGTGAGAAATGCATTAAATAATTGTCTACTCTGTGTGCCTGTTTGTGATATGATTAAGATACCCCAGATATTTAAAAATATGTAAATCAAAGTATTTTTGGTCTGTAAAATGTTCTTATGCGATCACTGCTGTGATTCATGCTGTACCAGAGGAAAGGGCCAAGGAGCCATATTTGTGTACATCCATTGTTTTCC